TTTTAAAGATAAAAAGTGACAAAATGAAAAAAGAAATAGATCAGATCTTGCATTACCAGAGAGATTGACTGCTGTGGAATACTTCCTTTGACAAAAAACCCAAGGGATTAAAAACCAAATCCAAAATTGCATTAGTTTTTTTCCCCCCATTGTTGCCAACGTCACATTGCTGATTCACATTTGGCTCATTTTATTATATGTGCTTCTCCATTTTGAAATTACCTGTGAGTTGTTTTATTTATTTTTTATTTTGCCTCCGAAAGTTTCTGGTTTTCTCATTACTTTGTCAGAAGAATAAAATGCTGTGCCAGTTTGCTGCTTAACTGTGGTTAAATAGCTTTGCTTAATAACGTGTAGCCGCTTGGAATCAATGTTCGGGATTTAAATATATCCAGAAGCCTTTTGAAATCAGGAGGAAAGGTAGTTTTTGATTTGCAACCACAACTGGGACCAGAATTTCCATTGCTAAACAAGTTAGATGAACCGCACCCAATTTTTTGACATTTTCCCCATGGTTGTTAAGTGAATCCCTACTGACTTTGATTGTCAGAAACCAATAGTCAGATGATCCTAGGAGGTGGCAACCACTATTGTAAATACATGCCAGTTGCCAAGCGGCCAAATTTTGATTGTGTGACTGTGGGGATGCTGCAACAATTGTAAGTGTGAGGATCTCTCATAAGCCACTTTTTTTTTTCCAGGGCTGCTATAACTTTAACAGTACTAAATGAATAACTGCAAATTGAGGACTAGCTGTAATCCAAACCCAAAAATTCATTGTGAGTGATTAATCTTGATAAATTTGTAGTCATTTTAGTTTTTATGTATGAGAGAGCCTATACTTTTAAGCAGTCCATCAATGCATCAGGTACAATCTCTTGTTCTGTGTCCCGCTAAAAATGAAGCTCCATCCTTGCCATCATTTTAATAAGACCACACTTGGAACACTGCATCCAGTTTTGGTTGTCATGAGATTAAAAAAAGATGTCGAGACATTAGCGCTGAAATCAGATGATTGCAAATGTAGGTGAGTCATTTTCAGAAAATCACCGGTTATTATTTGCAGCCAGTTGGATTTCAAGACCAAGTGTTTGTTCACTGCATACAAACATCCTGTTTTTTCGCGATTGCAGTGGTGGGATTCAATTTTTTTTACTACCGGTTCTGTGGGCGTGGCTTGGTGGGTGTGGCAGGGGAAGGATACTGTAAAATCTCCAGTCAGAGGTGGTATTTGCTGATTCTCTGAACGACTCAAAATTTCCACT